TCTCTACCTTTCCTCCTTTCTTCTACCCATGGATTTCATAATCCAACATTGGTGCTTTCATTGAGAGTATCGAACATATCAAGCGTGCTCTCTCCCATTTTTCTTTGATTTCTTGAAAAATCCAAACTTACGTTCGGAGGATTGTGCGAACTTGAATCGACAGCCCACACTAAAGCAAAACACACTTCTTTCCATTCGTGTTTTTCTTCGATCAAGAGGAAGAATTTTTTTTCAAAATTCCTTCCACATCTGTCAGCAACAACCAGTGGCGGATCCAGGAATTTGGGTAGATGGGGGCACAAGTGCACACCTGGTCAAAGATCCCGGAGTAGCGCCCCGAATTTTTTTTAAAAATAGATAGTATAAAATGACAAAAAATAATAAACTTATTTTAAACATTTATGAAATGTAAAATATTGTTTAATAGGTAATATAAAATTTTATTACAAACAATAAAGTATACGGAGTATGCAATAAAATATACTTTACTTCAATAAAATTAATAAAAAAACTAAAAACTAACTTAATTAGATAAGTTTCCATTAATTTTGTTGGAAATATATAATTCTAGATGGGGTCAACCCCAATTTAGATGGGGGCATGCAGCTCAAAGTATATAAATTTTTTCAAAAAAAAAAAAAAGAAATAGTTTAACACCAAATATTAGTAGGGGGCATTGGCCCCCAATCCTTTCTTACTAGATCCGCCCCTAGCAACAACGGAGGATTTCAAACTCCACTTTAGACCCGGACGGAGCTGTGCGAAACACAACCCATTTTCGGCCCGAACCTGTGAAGTGTCCACCGTCGACGACGCCCAGTGGCGTTCCGGCGGCTTCGGCTGCTCTGGAATTTGGCGTCAGTCAACAGCGAACTTGGATGGGCCACCTGTCTCCGGCCAGATCTCGCAGCACTGCCGTTGGCCGCCTGACTCCTGCCGGCACGTGAGGTCGGAGGAAGTAAGGAGGGTAGATCTACTGCAGATCCGTCATCTAAGGGACCAATTGACGACCACCGACCGGCATTCGCTTTTTGCTCTGGCCGGCAACGATTCACTAGCAACGATCCACCGGCGACGACTGTACCGACGCAATGACCAAGAGCTGCACGGAATCGTGCCACTACGCAGCCAAAGAAGAAGGCTTTGGAGCAGGGACGAACTCCATCCATGGCGTGGTAGCTCCAGATCCGTCGCTGCTGACGGCACTCTCTCAGGTGGCCAACGTCTCATTTGGGCGTCGTGACAGCTCTGATCACCGTTCAAAAATCTTCAATTGGAGTCCAGCTTTTAGGCGGGTGGAGTATACCTGGTCGTATATCTGTTTACAACACCCCAACAGATCTGTGTTGCTGCTACTTCTTTCTGGCAAGCCGTCCTCTATCGTGGCGACCAACACCGGCAAAACCCCATAGCAAACGTCCACCGCTCCACGTCATAATAGGCATGGATGTCTTCGTTCCAGCCTGTAAAGGAGAAAAGGCTGGGCAGCACCAGGGGACGGATGTCCCTCTTTCCAGCGTGTAAAGGAGGAAAAGCTGGGCAAGTGGGCTTACTATTCACATGTGGGTCCTTGAATTCCCAAAAGATAAGTCTTTTACACCTAACACATCATTTCAACTATTCCATATTTATTATTTTACCATATTATCAATATCAATATATCATCATTGATAATATCTACACTATTATTATTACCATTACCTTGTCCACCACATGTGATCGGACCTCACTTGGACGATGGTATTACACTTTGTGTTCAACACTTTAAGCCCTGATGTGGGATGGGTGCGAAGCTTGATCTCACACCCCACACAGGCCAGCGACCTGCCTCAGGGCATGGCTCAGATCCAACTCATTTAGTCATTCCTTAGCGAGGCCGGGTAAAACCTCTCTACGAGGTGTTGAAGATCGTCCGCGACGATATTATCGCGAGGTCGAGGTAAGCCCTCCATCTCGACGCACTCCTATATATCCGTCTTCCACGATGTGATCTCATTTCCTCTTCCACAAGGCCGAGGTAAGACGTCCCGCCGCGACGCACTCCCATCCGTCTCCTACGATGCGATTTTATTTCCTCTTCTACGAGGCTGAGGTAAGCCCTCTCCGCGAGGCACTCCAAATCGTCCCCGATGATATTATTCGCGAGACCGAGGTAAGCCGTCCATCTCGACGCACTCCTATATATCCATCTTCCACGACGTGAACTATTCGCTCTCGGATCTAAGGCGAGGGGTGCATCATTTGTGCCTATCTCACTTACCCGAGCAGCCCTCATTTGAAGACTCCGGTCTCACTAAGGATGACATCAAGGTTTGTTCTAGACCAGACTACTACACGATCGGCACACTTTGGTGATAAGGCCTATCTTTTGTCCAAAACATTGGACCCAACGCATACGTTGTCTTACTTCTCTCGGCCACGTGGTGATCGGTCCATCCGAGCCCGCTAGCGCCTTGTGTTCTTTTTTCAGCTCATTTTGCAGGTTAGAAGGATGAGAAGGCCAAGCTGCTTCATCCACTCAAGCTCAGCCTCAGCCACCTTGTGGGGTACTCAAGCTCGGCCCAGCCACTCAAGCTCGGCCTAAGCCACTTAGGCTCGGCCTCAGCCACTCGAGCTCGGGTTCAGCCACTCGAGCTCGACCTCAGGCGCTCAAGCTCGTGAAGGAGCCACAGACTCCTGCCGACGCCGAGCATGGACACTACTCCCCTTCACCTTGGAATTCTTTCTCGGCTTAGGACGTGGGGGACTCCGGGTGCTCGGCTCGTAATTGTTACATCTCACATAATGCACTCGCCGGCAATCCATTATATCAAACATCCCTCGACTCCGGACAACGAGTCCGGGGGACTTGAAGATCACCTCTTTTGAGATTCACACAGAAGAACTCACCCCCTAGCAATGTTTTCTTGATCCACTCTGTAGGACGAGATGTACTCTTTTCTTGACCGAGGATTTTTTCCCATCCTCATGGGTTTTTTCCTCGGTAAGTTTTTAATGAGGCTTCCCTTGTGGAGTGGGTCACACATTGACGGGATTATGGGAGGATGACGACTTATTCATCCACTCTTATGGTGATTGTTGCACTATGAACAAATTGAGGCAGACTTTTTTACTGTGCCGCTCCGGACAACTAGTCGGCAGCGCACTTCATGCTCATTGCCTCATTTTCTTTCACTCTGCCACTTCGGACAGCGAGTCGGCAGCGCACATCATGCTCAGTGCTATGATTGTTTTTACTTTGCCACTTCGGACAGCGAGTCGGCAATGCACCTCATATCCGTGGGTGCAGATTCTTTCAACTCATTCTTTCACCTCGCCTTACTCTGGACAACGAGTTGGCATTACATCTTCAGACTGACGGCGTCGATTGCCTTACTCCACTGTGCTCGGGACAGCGAGTTGGCTGTGTACTCCAGACAACAAGGAAGATGGTGTCCTTCTGTGGTGGATTATTGTTCTACTTCCACTTCACCTCGAGTTCCTCTCGGCTCGGGAAGTGGGGGACTCATGATGGATACCCTAGACAGGGGGTATCTGGTCTTTGTATAATATTAGTTGGGGCGGTCAAGTCTGTTGGACCGACCCGTTAGTTGTATGTTGATTATTTATTTTAGGGCGGCCGAGTCTGTTGGGCCGGCCCATTAGACTGAAACCCTAGCTCTGATTCTTCTTATTTATACCCTCTTCTTGGAAGAGGGGAGGAAAAGGTGGAGAAAGGGGGGCTACATTGTACTATTCATCATCTTCTTCATCTCTACATTTCCTCCTTTCTTCTACCCATGGATTTCATAATCCAACATTAAAACACTAAGGCCCGTTCTTTTGGACTTGAACTCTTAACTTCCAGTTTTTTCCAGTTCCTTCCAGTTCTTTCCAATTTCTTCCAGTTTCTTCCAGTTTCTTCCAGTTCTTCCAGTTTTTTCCAGTTTCTTCCAGTTTCTTCCAGTTCCTTCCAGTTTCTTCCAGTTTTTTCCAGTTCCTTCCAGTTTCCAGTTTCTACTTTCTGACAAATCACTCTAAAAAATATATTATTATTATTATTATAGTTTTTTTAATTACAACTTTTATGTTCATAAATATAGTTTATAAATTATTTCATTTTGTCATCTCACTATTTTTATGATTCATATTCATTATTTTTTTCTTCAACTTTTTAATATGAATAATACCATTTTTTGTATATTAATCTACAAGAAAAAATAGGAAACTATTTAAAAATTATGGTTAATTAAATAGTCGCGGGAACTTTTATTTATTTCGATGTTATCATTGATTATTTGATAAAATAAAATATTTTGACACCTCTTATTTCGAAGAACTTTTCATGTAGTAAGAGTATAACATAAAAAATGTAAAAAAACTGTTCTATGTTTTTATTCAAAAAGTAGGGTTACAATGGAAATAAATTGCCAATCCTTAAAGAAAGAATAGGTTTGATTACATTATGTGACATGTCAGATATTTTAAACAAAATCTTGTAATATATAAAATATAATTACAAATATATTATTTTATAATAAATACATATAGCCATAATAACTCTTAACTATTTAACATTTTGATATTTATGCTAATTTTATATTCTAATTATTTTTTTAAACTATCTTTTTATGTATGAAAATAATATTCGTAATTTTTTTTATATTCTAAAGACAATCATTTAGATAACGTAATAACACCACCACTACCACCACCACCAACAACTACAACAACAACAACAACAACAACAATAATAATAATAATAATAATTATAGCAATAATAATAATTTATATCAACAAGAATCAGAATGAGAATAATTTAAAACCACACATAAAAATTTTTTAAAAACTTTTTTTAGATTTTACAATTTATTCTAGTTTTTTCAGTTTCTTTTAATTTTTTCCAGTTTTTCCAGTTTCTTCTAGTTTCTTCCAGCTCCTTCAAGTTCCTTCCAGTTTCTTCCAGTTTCTTTCAGTTTCTTCCAGTTCTTCCAGTTCCTTCCAGTTTCTTCCAGTTTCTTCCAGTTTCCAGCTCTTTTTTTCCAGTCTTAAAGAACAGGCCCTAAGGGCGTTTGAGGGTTGTTCTTCGCCGGCGTCATCTGCACCCGTATCTTGGCGCTTGGGCGTCCCAAGGTAATCTGGATTCTCCCCGAGTTCGGCATTCAGGTTGGGATCGTGCATGTCTGGAATGTCGACCCCGGGCGGAGGGAAGGACGGATCTACTCTTCATGTCCGGCGAAGGACGAGCTGAATCCCGTGATAGACGCCGCTCTCGAACCATTTCGTCCCTTCCACCCCCATCTTCTCAGTGCCGGCCTCGGTCCCGAGCCAGTCTTCGTAATAGGCGGCCATTTTCTCCATACAGGCTTCTTTGAAGGATGGGGACTGAAGGAAGTCGGAGATGGCGTGCTCCTTCTCGGGAACAGCTTGCTCCCTCTCAGCAAGGGACCAATCTCGCTCAGCTTCCATAGACCGCTGCGAGGAGACAGCCTTGGCCAGTTCAACGTCCAGCTCTGAAATCCGGCCCTCGGATTGGCGCAGCCGCCCCTCGAGCTCGGCCATTGAAGCCGTCAGTGGGGAGGCTGATTCCTCCGACTCTTTCAGAAGGCCCTGCAGCCGGACAACTTCCTCGGACTTCTCCACGGCTTGCATTTCAAGCTCGACGGCCTGTTCATGCTTGGTTTCCGCCAATTTCCTTAGGCGAGACAACTCCGTTTCCACCGAAGCCAAGAAATCTACGCCTGAGGAGAATTCAGCCCCGGCTCGGCATTTGCTGATCAAGCTCAATTTTGCCAACACCTAAGAAAGATCAAGTCAGTCGTCTATGGAAGTGGAAACAATTAAGGTACCAAGAGGCTAACCTTTTTGTGGAAACCATCCACCAGCCCCTGCAAGAACGAGAGAATCTCGTCCTCGTCCTTCAATACCGCAGACAGGGATGCGATCTTGGCCTCGGCATGCACATCTCCATCAATCTTGTCAAGGGAAGCGGGGCACTTCCCATCCTGAGGACCGGCCGACCGTTTGCTCAATGGACTCTGGCTCGGAACCGTATCCTGCTCGGACGCGGTCTCCTCATCCTCGACTTGGATAACCTTCCTCTTTCTCAGGTTCCGAGTCGGAGCCGCCTCCTGATTCGGGACGGAAGCAGCAGATCCAGATGCATCCTCGGATGGTGGATTTTGTTGAACCTCTTCTCCTCGGCTGCGATTTCGGGCCAACAGCTTGGCCTTACGAATGACATCCACTGGATTCATATCTCCTGCCAGGACAAAACAACAGTTAAAAGATTTGGCATCAAACAGAAAAAACCTCAAAGTGAGGGACAGACCTCCGGAAGGCTCCATATCAGCAATCCCCTCAGAGTGGGATGGCTGTCCTGACTCTTCATCGGTTTCGATCTCCTCATCCTCTTCCTCTTCTCTTTCCTCCGATTCCAGATCTTCCGGCCTCGAAGTACTCTCCTCAAGCCCATGCTTAGGACGACTCCCCAGCATGGCCTCGGTCAGCTCAAACTGACGCTCGAGGGAGATAAGGATCCCCACCTCTACTAGGTTCTGCTCCGTACACACAGTGTACACATGAGGCGGTTTAGGCCGGCAGTCTTCGAAGAGTTTCTACGCGTGCGCGAGAAGCTCGGGAGTGGCCTTAGGACGAGGATGACGAATGTATGTATGACAGTCAGGAAACCTAGCTCGGAAGGGATGCCGGTTCCCAGGAAAACCAGAAATGAAGACAAACTTGGCCTTCCAAAGTTTCAGAGATGTGGGGATGATGGCCATACCACACTCGGCCTGAAAAGAGACGACAGCGTATGAATTCCCTTCTAAGTCCCCAACTTTGGAAACCTTGAACATATAACGGAACAGATCCAAAGACCAGGGGACTCCCCTCTGGTGACACTTAATCAGGAACACTGAGAAACAGTAATAGGAGTGGGGACTGAGCTGACCCGGAAGAAGACGGTAGAAATTCAGGAATTGGACTATCAAATCATGGGGGGGGGGGGAAACGAAGACCGTAACGCATGGACGCCACATGCACCCCGACCTCGGCGTCGGGACTGGTCACGGAGAATATGTGGTTGGTTATGTGTGGTCGGCGCACGGAGTAACCCTCTCCCACGAAGCGAATAGCCTCGTCAAAGTCAACATCCAACAAAAGACAACCCGTACTGGTAATTGGACCTGTTTCCAGCGTGGTAACGGGTAAGGATTTCCGGGTCTTCACCTGGGCAACTTTTGATTTTTTCTTCTTCAGAGGCAGCGCCTGAGACGACGGCGCCACAGTGACGGATGAACGGAGAGGCACCGCGCTCAGAACCCTAGAAGGATTGATCCCTCCCGTCAGACCGTCAGGATGGAGGGAGGGATCTTGACGGTACATCTCCTCAAAGCAAGCCGCTGCTGGGTCAACAGCAGGGATGGAAGGAGTGGAATCGGAAGACGTCATGAAAGCGAGGAAGAATGAACTAACCTTCGGGTCGGACTGCGGCGGCGACGGCGAATAAGCAGAGGCGGTGAATGAGATCGATGGCAAAACTGCGGCGCAAAAATGACAAATGTGGAGAAGATTGGGAAATTCTCATTTTTCATACGTTAATTTGATCCGACCCGACTCAATGAAAAGTCACAGGTACGAAGAGACATGGCGTTTCCTCACGCGTACGATCACGAATCATCATGAACGGCTGGCAAAGGAAAAGTACAGAGACGTTGCGTCTCCCAAGCAACACAATCATGCTTCCCCGAAATCGAGGTTGACACGTGTAAATCTTGCCAGTTGGAACACTCCCCAACCCTCGTCAGTACTCAAGTCGGGCAATGGGGGACTCCTACACATGGCCAAGATTTTCGAAATTCAAAATTCAAAATCCCAACTTTTTGGATTACTTCCCTTGGCTTCGCTACGCTCGGCCGAGGAAGTAGGGGACTCATGATAGATACCCGGGAATGGGGGTATCCAGCCCAACAGGAAGACGACCCAGCCCAACTTTGCCAAGGCCCACTTGGCGGGACCAAGGCAAAGGACCAGCGAAGACCGCCTCGGCAGTGTTATGCACTCGGCCCCGGCAGGGTCGGTCATCCTCAGACCACCCCCGGCCGGCCTTCCGTCCAGAGGTTTCCGAAGATAGGTCGTGCGCTCGGCCTCGGCCCTGGGCATCGACAGACCAGACCTGGACAAGGAAGCTGACTGAAGTCAAGATCAAGGGGCCCACGATTAGACTCCTGCCATGCCTCTAGCAGAGTTGCTATAGCCACCCTACTTGTAACCTACGTTTGTATAACAGGCCTAGGGCTAATTATGTGGTTGGACGCCGCCAGTGAACAACCCAATCTTTGTGGGCCCAGACCGTTGGATTACGGACCAACGATCGGAACCCTAGCTATAATTTATATATAAACCTCTTCCCTTCTAAGGGAAGGGGGACTCACGTTCTAAGTTATACTCTAACTAGCACAATATTACTCTCAGTTTACTTGACCCCATATTTTGTGCACTCTCGACTTAGTTCGATACTCTTCCGCCTAGTTACCTAGGCCCCCGGGTTCTATAACCCAACAGGTACTGTATCACTATATACTTTTCAAATTATTTCTCAAGATAAATTTAAATGCTGAGATGAAACTCGTTATATGAGAAAAATGTTCTGTTTAGTCTCACGACTAACGTCTGTCAAAATAACGTCAAAACAAACTTAAAACTTATGCTAATTTTCTAAAATGATCACTTCTAATTTTGCATTTTCTCAGATTGTTCCATTTTCAAAATAAAACTCATTAAATATAGAAAAAAATTAAATTTTGTAGGATGAGAGTATAATAAATAAAACTACTAATATAAGTTTATAAATTTTAAAGTAAATGTTTTAAGTTATTTACAATTGTTTATAAGAATATATTATAAATAAAACATTAATACTCTTTTCTTCCCAAAATAAGACTCGTGTTAATGTAAAATTCTAGACTAATTTACTTAAATTTATTTGAAAATAACTTCGATCAAACATTATAAACCGAAGCAGGAGTCTTATTTCAAAACCGATGTGATCGTTAATTTACATGATATTCTCTTAAATAGTTTTGAACAATCTAAAACATTTGCGTTCAACTTTATTAAATTATATTTATACTTTTTTTAATTTTATTTTCATCCTACTCCATCCGTCCATGAGTATTTGTCTACTTTTGACTTTTTTAGGCAAAAATAGTAAAATTTGAACTCAATATATAGCTTTATTATATTTATTACATTAAATAATTTCAAAATAATATTCTATCTAATTAATACAGAGTATACAATATATATTATATTTAATTATAGGTCAAAGGTTGAAAATGATTGACCAAAAAAAGTCAAAACTGGACAAATATCCAGAGATGTAGGTAGTATATTACTTAATTTTTTCATATTTAATGACTTTTTCACCAAAAATGGACCAATTTGAGAAAGCACACAATCAGAAAGGAACATTTTGGAAAATTAGTGTAAGTTTTAACGTCGTTTTGACGTTGTTATGACAACCATTAGTCAGAGGCTAAATTGAGTGTTTTGCTCAATTAACTAGTACCATCTCAGTAATTAGTTCATCTTGAAGACTAAATTGGAAAAACACATAATTGTCGAGTACCATTTAGAAAATGTACTCTAAATATTTGGTTGTGATATTTTGTCTCAAATCTCTTGTGGGTCTAGAGATTACCAATTAAACCACTATGCAGGTAAACCAGATCAACAAAACAACTACGCCAAGCAAATGCTATAACATCACAAAGATGATTGATAATATAATGTGTTATATCATCTTTTTTGTCACAAACATACACAAGTATAAAACTTAAAGCAGTAAATGACACTTAGAATTATTTATGCAGTATGGAGTAAATTCTCTTACGTTTCTGGCCCACTTCTCTGTAATAGCCCTTCACTAAACCAACATACATAATAGATTACACTGATCGCAAATAATAGAACGTCTCATCTAATATTTATGAAAAAATCTATCTTACCTAAGACTTCTAACCCAAACCCTGATTGAGTCATCTTCAATGACTTATTACACTTTCTTCGAGACATTCTTCAAGGATGTGCTCATAGTGTGATTGTAGATCCTCAGGATGCTCAACATAGAGATCGTCTTGTGAGCATAAACAACACTGGTAGTGTTTACGTCACCCACAAAGCTACAAGGTTTTAACGTAAAACTGAGCTTTTAAACATCACACTAAGATATTCAAGAATGGTGTGATCTCTCTGTGTATGATGAAGTCTCTTTGATGTGCAGCCTTATAAAATCTCTCGTGTATATTTATCTATCTTTTGTTCTTAGGCTTAGCGTAGTATATATAAGGAACCAATCAACCCTAGTAGAGTTCATCCAATATTCTTCAGTGCAACTTATATCTTCGATGTAAGAGAGTCCTAGGGCTCATCAACCTTCTCATGATTTGTGCTACTTTACTAAAGGACTCTAGTAGATGTAGGACTCCTTCATTACGAACACCTTACACATTTAAAAATACATCTAGCTAATATTTTTGAGTAGCATGATTCCTTTGTTTAACTAGATTCCTTCATGGTAGTAAATGGATATAATGATGCAACACTAGCTTTAACAACATGATGATTGACACGGTGCTACAACTCTAGTTAGCACCAAACGATTAACCTCTAGAACAAATAAATACCTATTCATTTGTCAGAAAATAATCTCAACATGAGTTAGAAAAACTCAACTTTACAAAAAATGAGGGATGACAACTCATGAACCTAACAATGTCTATATCACCTTATGAGATTGATTTGCAAAATTGTAAAATCCATAACTAGAGAGAAAGAGAAGAAGAAAAAGAAGAGAGGACACATGAATATATAGTGAAAAGATGAATAGAATGAATGTAATCTCCCCGGATAAGGCATGAGGAGAATATAAATAGAATCATAAATAACAATACTGGACTTGTTGGAATAATAGAATAATAGAATTGCTTAATAGTATTGGAAAAACAAGAGAGCATGTATAGAAAACATTCCTAGAATAAGTAGGAATCAACCTAATAATAGAAGCTAACTAATAAATAAATAATACCATAATTAATAATATTATAATTATTAGGTAGAACTTCTACAATCAACAAGAAACATAGCATCTTCAGCTATAAAAATGACACATTTGAGATAAGACTAAAAGAGTGGCCCATAATTATTTTCCAATTTAGAGAATATATCTATCATTCTATCTCACTACTTTATCACAGACTTATTTGATTTACATAGTCTATGAATGTATATATAAAATTGTATAAAGTAGCTGGTTCCAAGTATCTGGGACTCCTAGTAGACACCAATGTGTGCAATCAGGATGTTGGTGCCTGCCGACACCGAAAACTGACGGGTGTCCGTCTTCTCTATATTGTGACATGGTAGTTATGTTCAATAGATACACTTTCTTAGAAATTGTTCTTAAAACTCTCTCCAGCACCAATTCCCCACGATGAGGTGTTCTAGGTACTTTTGTTGGTCTTGTCAATCCCGTACAATTTCCTGTTACCTCAAACCTATCTATCCTGCACATTTTAAATACAAAGTATAAAAGAAGATACAATAATTAAAAGGTTGACCTACATACATTATTAAAGACCATGTTACAACCACACCACAGATGATAGTGAATTTGAAATTATCACATACAATAACATCTCTCAGACAATTATAATCTTCACATAATTGTTTCTCACGGCATCAATCTCAATGTCATTCTCTCGAGTAATTTAACATTCTTCCATTTTTTAATTTATAGAAAAAAAATTTATTTATTGGTTACATGTCATGATCTGGGGAGACTCCTTGAAAGAAAACTAGACTTTGTAGTGTTCACTTGGTTTTCAACCCATCTTGCCCAAGTGTGAAGAGCTTTCTCATACAACACCAACCTATCTCCATCTTTGTATCTAACATTTCCATCCTCCACAATATCCCAGCTGCATCCATTACCAAAACAGAATGTGCATCCTACCTGAGTTTTAAATATAAAAGTGAGGGTTTTTTGTTTAGGTTTTAAATGTAGCTAACTTTTGTTTTCTGCCAGTGTGAAGCCACCAATGCCAAGAATCAAAGATGAGAGCATCCATTTCTTTCCATTGGGTGCCATTGCTAATGGAGTTAAGCTTCAACACCCGCTCTCCATCTTCTTCTCTAACAAGATCTACTAGAAACGCAGCCCGAAACAACAATATGGAAACTTTGTACTTCTGCCATATTTTATCAAAAGAACAAACTCAATCAAAAATTTAAGTTTATTATGCTCTAATTAACATAACAAGTGTGCACTTTAAAAGGTAAATGTATACAATCTTACTTACTGGGAATGAGAAATTAGAAAGGGGTCCAAATCTTTGTAAAGTAAACTTGGCATTTGGGTTTCCCACGTGAAGCAAACATGTGAGGGACTGCCACTGGTTTAGACTCAAAGAGTCTCCTACAAACATCACCTTCTTGCCCTTCATTTTTACCAAAAACTTTCTCGCATCAAACCTGATATAAAGTATATGTCAAGGAATCAACTCAGTCATAAGCTTAAGATCGTGGTTGTGGCCCATGAAAAGTTTTTATATACTCTAACATGTCTGCTACTGTGCAGACATAACTTCTTTGAGCCTTGCACATGAAATTTTAATTTTTTAAAAATTAAGTGGCGTTGAGTTTCAAATCTGGGGCCTCTTAGTTAAGAAGACTTTAATACCATATCAAGGAACCAACACAACAAAAATCCCAAGCTTGCGGTTGTAGCCCAAGAAAGGTTGTTATGTACTCTAGCAATATAAACAAGTAAAACCAATTGGTGAAAATTCGGTGGACCAAAGATAGCTATGCCCAACACACAAGCTAATGAGAGTTCCATCCTAAAATGAAATGTACAATTGGTGAGAGAAGAAGAGATCAAGAAACTTATATGTTGGGCACTTGTTTGTTCTTTTTCAGTGTGGGGTCCACGGTCCACCTCCCAACCTTTGATGCAGAATTACATGTGAGGGAATCAATTCAATCTAAATCTTAAACTTGTACCAAAGACCTTGTGGTTTAGTTGTAACTTTTCGGATTTTTCCAAAAAAAAAGTCGCACGTTCAAATCTTTGTCAAAGGAACCAGCTTAACCAAAAGCTCAAGCTTGTGGTTGTGGCCCAGGAACAGTTATTTATATTCTAACATGCCCCTCACGTGCAGGCGTAGTTTTTTTCGAGCCTTGCACGTAAAACCTTAATTTTTTTTAAACTGGGTGGCGCTGAGTTTCGAAAATGTGACCTCTTAGTCAACTTGACCCTGATACCATGTCAAAAGAACAAATTTAACCTGTGGCCTAGGAACAGTTATTTATATTCTAACAATCTTCGCTTGAAAAAAGTATATATAAAGAGATACTCATATATACCGAGTGATTTTTTTTACTACTGGGGTATAACAATATTTGAGAATACATCAAACCTGGGAAGAGAGCAGTTGTTGGGGTGCCATCTGTATTTGAGATAGTCACTATCAACCCTTCCATTCTTCACACAATCAAACTGCTTCTCTATGAAGGAGCACTGTGATGAATTGTAGAGATTAACGTAAAACTCGTCTAAAACCCAATTTCCTTGGAAGAGATCACAGCCGTTGGCGCTTTCCGCAGGGCCCAATTCCTTCTTCTTGTTCATCATCACCTGCGGCGGTGTCCCTTGCACTTCACTCTGATTTGTAAGAGAAAGAAGTAAGAAGAAGATGATTATCAACTTTGAATTATACATTTGGAAACCCTAATCTTTGCTCTGCTTTTAGTCTTGTGTAGTCTTGTGTTAACGAAAAGATGTTAACCGCTCTTTAAATGAATAAATGAAAAAAAGATTCTTTTCATTTTTAAATTGGGAGATTAATTGATCATTCTCTAATGAGGTTGGTAACACATGCCTTTCATGTTGACAATGAGGGTAAATTGCTGATAATTAATTAGGTCCTGTATCACTTTACAATGTGCAATGTAGTTATATTTTGATCATTAAGATATTTTATAAAAATGTTACCAAGTATATATTAAAGTGCACAAATATAATATTTTTTAAAAAAAACTATTGACATTGAATTTATGTCACGATTCAATATTCTTTAGAAAATTTGGTGTCAAAATTTATAAACATTGAAAAAATTGAAAACAATAAACCTCTCTTGATAAGAGTAAAAACTATGAAATACTAAAATAAGATTCCTATATTTTTTAAAACTAAAATAATAGTATAATGACAGTGTGATATTAGATAATTGACAATGTGATATAAAAATATTTAAAACTAAAATAGGAGTATAATAGCTAGTTTCGATTAAAAAAACACCTAAAGTGGAAAATATCTTGGCACATCAGAGACCACAACTATATCATGTAAACTTTACACAATCATGTGAATTGTGAAGTACATTGCAATAAACAAACGTTTAAATTTCTCAAGGAACTTGGCTAACTTCAATCAATTCGATTTTTAGGGAAAGTTTCACAGGTTGCTAAAGAATATCTACCTAAAAAGCTTAACAAAAATACTGTACATCCGCCTATATATGTTGGGGGAAATAGAAGATAACACTGATTAACCTGAGAATCGTGATCACACTTTTAGATTGATTATTTGGGTGTTGAATCCAAAAGTCAACCGTATAAAACTCAAATTGTTGACAAGAATAACTATGAAATTGAGATGAACTTACGAACTCTCTGTGTATTGACCAAACGAGTTACAGAAATTCTTGTCTAGTCGCACGAGATTTAGGAGACAACTGTTTACGGAAAGTCTTATACCCAAATTCCGAAAATTAAAAATTCAAGTAAATTTTTAATACAACACTATGTCCAAAATAAAGTCTCAACCCCAGCCAGAGGTTCTGCCCCTTGGACCCCCGCAAGGACTGCCGCTCCTTGAACTCCTGTTCGAGGGCGCTGTTCCCTGAACCCCCTAAAAGTTATTTTACTAACGAATGCATCTCTTAAAATTTTAAATCTGTATATATCAATGTCGTAATGTACATGTTCTAAATGTGTATAAAGAAATAAATGTGTGATAAGATCAATAACTTATAGATATGAACATGTATTGAATGTACAATAAAAAAGGAAAAATGCTAGGGGTACACCTTACCACATTTGTCCCCCATCCCCTTCATTACCACAAAAATGGGCAAGAATTTTTTTTAAAAAAAAATTAAATAAATAAAAAAGTAGATAAAAATGGGTGGTGGAGAAGGGGGTGGGGGACAAATGGGATACACCTTTGGTGTACCCCTAGCATTGCTCATAAAAAAGACGTGTAAAGTATTCATAAAGATTGACTTTTTTAGTCAAATTTGAAAATTTTTGATTATCAATAGAATGTATTCAATTGAGAGTATATTAGTTTGTTTTTGGGTTTTAAACTGTCAGTGGATTTAAAAAAACTATCAGCGTCATACAGAGCATAGCCGATTTTTTTATTGATTTACATGGATTTTTATATACTTGACAAGTCTCTTTTATTGATTTCTACTTCCATATTTCTTATCGGTATAATGAAATTTCCAGGAATTTCTGGTTATGAGAAGAGAACTAGATGAGTCAAATATAAGCATATTTTTGAGATGAGTCAACAAATGACACTAGTTCTAATCAAGGCATCTATGGTTAGGGCTGAGCAACGGTCGGTTTCGGTCGGTTTCAGTTTGAAACCGAAAAAACCGACTTTTTTTAACATAATTGAAAACCGACCGAACCGAACCGACCATAAATCAAAACCGACCGAACCAAAACCGAAAACCGCCCATACATCAAAAAAACCGACCGAAAAACCGAATTCTAATTACTTTTATTTTGCTTTTTTAATATAAATTCAAGAAACTAATTTGGAAAGGTAGATTGATGTGTATTAAATTAGTTTAAATTAAAACTTTTGTATTATCATTGGTTTAGTAAGGTAGATTAATTTTCTTTTTTTGAATTTACACTATCCATTTCATATAAAAATTGCACTTTTCTTATTAATATGTTCAAAACATTAACAAATAAATTTTTTAAAAGTGAAACATTAAAGTTTTCCATGAAAGAGTAAAAAGAAAGCATGTGTATTAATCAAATATTTTCTTATTTTAAAAAATAAAAAATAAATTAAAATAAAATCATCGGTTATTTGGTCGGTTCGGTTTTTCTTACAAAAAAACCGAAAACCGACCGAAAAACCGAAAAAACCGAAAATAATTTTTACATGAAAACCGAAACCGAACTTTCGGTTATTTCGGTTTTCGGTTTTCGGTTTCGCGGTCGGTCCGGTTAATTTGCTCACCCCTATCTATGGTACTCTATTCTCAAAGTTAATAGCTCTAACCTTCTAATCCCGCTCTAGCGCGTCGCCCTCCCTTCTTCATTGATTAGCTACAGGAAAACTGTAGCCCATCCGTGATGAAGGGAGGAGGGACATGGGGACCTGGGGATAGAAATCATCATGTTACGAACGAAAGACAATAAACATATTAGGCATCATAGTCTCACCATAGGCCCGTGGCCTCGGAACAAGCAGTTGAGGCTATGGACATGGTATAAACCCCAAATTCGGACCCAGAAGTTTGCAGGTCACACAAGCTGATTCAACAAACATTCAAGTCCAAGTCTACTTTTTGTACACACGAGGTTTAAGGCCCGGGCCTGCATTCGGGCCCATGCGGGAGGGCGAGGATGATAATAATAGTAAACAAGTATACAGTAACCGAAAAGGGGATTAAACGGGAGTATTTTAAAGAAGAAGAAGAAGAGTGACGTGATAATCTTCTGTATATAAACGAAAAGTGTTAAATTGGGCGTCACCGAACGCCGAAGAAGGATCGAGCTTCATCGGCAAAGAGTACAAATGGAAGCACCTCCTTCCCTTATACTTCGACGTGTCTACTCAACTGCCCAGGTTATCATCCCCGTAATCCCCCTTCTCACGTCTCCATCCCTCTCTCTCTCTCTCGCTCTGTGTGTGTGTATATATATATATATGTATATAAATACCGTCTTCTCCGTCTTCTTGTGTATATTACATATACAGTACCCATAAAGCTAGCACCTTTAGCTACCCTTTCCCCGTTTTCACAATTCTTTCTAGCCAACAGGCGAAACCCCTTTTCAAAGTTCTGATTTTTATTGACTTTCTTCCATTCTTTTTCTTCTTTCAACAGTGAGTTTCCTTGGGCTTCAGCTAGCGATTTTTTCCTTGATTTTGCTTAGATGTAGAGAGTGATTCAAAAGAAAAAAAATTTGCTTTTTTGCGTGTGGTGTGGAAGTAGAGGAAATTTGTGGGTGGGATTTATTGGATTGTTGGTAATAAGGCGTGGGGTTTTGGGTGAAAGTTCTCTCTGAATTTTTATGTTTTGATGAATTGCTGGGTAGGTTTGGAATGCTTTTGTGTAAAACATGCTTTTGAGTGTCGTCTGCAGAAAAGAAAGCTCTGCAAATCTTCTTTGCCTTCATATGTGATTGCAATTTGAAATGGCTTTGGAATCTAGAAATCATTTTCATATATATATTTTTTAATATTTAGAAGATAAATTATTTACATAAACTGATCGTAGTATTCTCTCCTTCAATCATTCGCCCAAAACTATTGTCATTAATGATCTCCGAGGTATGTTAAGAAATCTGGTGATTCTATGCTCTTATATATGTATACTTTTGCTTAGTGGCAGATTGGCAGGCATTCTTAGGATTTCTTTTTTGTTGTTTTGATTGAAAATTGGCATGTGCTAGCTAGTGATTAGGTCTTTTTTTTTAATGTGACAATTGCAGTTGGTTTTGGGCATGGACCTCTATGATGTCCTGATAGCCATAGAATCCTATACTTGAGCAGCAACACCTTATATAGTGATTCAAGTGCATTCAAAACAATGTCTTTTTCTATGTGGGTTGGAAATGTGTATCAGAAGTTTGGAGCTATGTGTTTGGGGATTGAAGATGCTATGTATAAGGTGAATGCAACTTTATTCATAAGCTTTACTGCCTTTCATGCTTAACTTTCTCTTTTATTTCTATATCTATTTAATCCATAAATGAAAACAGAAACAAAATCTATATAAATCTATGGTGTCCTGATAACCTAGATTAGTGCTCATTGGGGATTTTGTTTCTTTATTTCTTGCCTAGATTTAGCTTCTTCCCATATTATTTACAAAAGGTTTTTGATCCTACTAATAAGTAGTAATTGGCCTTTTCTGAAACTGCTTTCTTTAGTTTTGGCATCATGCTTAACTATAAACTTGTCCTAGGTAGATTGGTAAATAATTTCTCTGTTTCTTCATTATCATCCCAATTTCCTTTTTTTGGGCCATGCAACTAAGATCTTCTTCATAAATTTTCCTTTTTTGCATTTAACTCTTAGATATTGTCGGCTATTCTTTATTAGAATTGATACATCCCATGTGCACTAAAAAGTTTGTACTCGTGTACGTATTTATTAATGTATAAAATGGCTAACATCTTCCTTATTTATATCATAGCATCATGAGCTCATTTAGTTTCCATTTCTAGCTAGGCTTATGAGAGGGAAAGGATCTCGTTTAAATGAGTCTCATTCTTTTGACAAAATTTATTCATATACATAAAAAGGACAGAAAAACTCTTTCGTATAGGAGTGTGACTTGCAAACATCCATTTATATGTTTATAAATGACATTTTCCACCTTTTATGATCTCCACAACATGTGTTGCTATAGAAAATGGTTTTGTTGGTTTAGAAGTGCACAGTTTGAACACAAAGACAAGACATTTGGTTAACAGCAGTCCCATGAATTTCAATATAAGCCCAAGTTGCCATGGGATTCATAATCCCATGGCCTAGGTGGTTTGATGCCAAATCACGGGATTCATTGAATTATTTGTATTTCTTTCAGGACAGTATAGCTTATGTTGAAAATCAAGTGCAAACAGTAGGTGAGAGTGTAAAAAGGTTTTGCTCAGAAATGGTGCAAGATTTGCATCCTGCGTCTCTTTTAGATCCTGTGGGAGTTGTTTTTGCTGACATGTCTGTGAATCCATATGCTTACCTCGAGATTGAGAAAAAGAAGAAAAAGGAAAACATGAAAGAACATCATGGGAAATCCACAGACAATATGAAATCCACAGACGATACTCAAGTCATCAAGGGTAAGGATATACGGCTTATCCATAATTTCCAAATGAACTAAAATTGCAAATACTAATAATAATATGTCATTTGTTATTGTATTAAGGGAGAAGCACACTTGGTGGGATACACAGACGCCGTAATGTTGGGACTATCAAGAGAACTGAAGGCTATGATGATCTTCCTTTAATGGCATCTCTTCCCATGACTTCTAAATCTTGGGAGAGAAAAGATATGAAATCCCCAGTCTGTGAAATAGGAGAAACGTCGGAGGAAATTTGTGATCATAAAGTGGGTTCCCCTGTTACCTCTAAGTCTTGGGAGGGGAATAAGATGAAGTCCCCAGTCTGTGAAATAGGAGAAACGTTAGAGGAAGCGTGTGATCATAAGGTGGACTTACCAGTGACTTCTAAGCCTTGGGAGAGTAATAACATGAAGCCCCCAGTCTTTGAAATAGGAGAAAAGATAGAGGAAATCTTTGATCATGAAGAGGATACTAATATGCAAACAACAGGCATCTCTATAGGCAATGTGGCATCTGAAGTGACATTATTGGTTGGATCACCGATCTGTGAAAAAGGAGAAAGCTTAGAGGAATTTTTTGTACCCAAAGAGGATGATAAAATGCAAACAACAGGAAGCTCTATAGACAATGTGGCATCTGAAAATGTGGCATCTGAAGTGGCATTATTGGTTGGATTACCAGTCTGTGAAATGGGAGAAAAAGAAATCTTTGATCATAAAGAGGATAACAATATTCAAAAACCCGGCAGCTCTATAGACAATGTGGCGTCTGAAGTGACATTATTGGTTGGATCACCAGCCTGTGAAATGGAAGAAAATGAAATCTTTGATCATAAAGAGGATAACAATATTCAAAAACCCGGCAGCTCTATAGACAATGTGGCGTCTGAAGTGACATTATTGGTTGAATCACCAGAATGTGAAATGGGAGAAAAGGAAATGTTTGGTCATAAAGTGGATGCTTATATGCAAACAACCGGCAGCTATATAGGCAATGTAGCATATGAGGTGACATTATTGGCTGGATCAGCTGGGCAGAAGAAGCAAGAAAATTTCGGATGCGCTTATGCTTTTGACGGCTCATCATCAATTTCAAGTGGTATAATATAGTTCTACACCACTCTATCCTTTTCGTTTTTGTTTTTTTTAAGAACAAAAAATAATTTTTTTAGCAAACTTATGCCACAATTTTGGTTAACTGTGCTATTGCATCAGGTACACAAGAAGCAGATATGCCCAATTCTACAATTTGGCTTAGTACATTAAGCGATTCAGGTAAGGTTATCTTTAAGTTTGTGTTAGAATTGGTTTTCTTGGGTCAGGTTCTTGTTTTTTGATTATTTACCATATCTCGAAAAATGGGAAGACAACCTTTTTGTGCTATAATCTTACTTTTGTTCCAAGCCAGCCACTACAATGGAGTAGAGATTTTGACATGTTTCTGCCTTTTGTATGATCTGCAGGAATATCAGAGAGGCATTATTTTAAGGTATTAGATGAGGCAAATGATGTGCTTGAGCAAGAAATTGATCAAGATGTGGAGAAAACATGTGTCTTGGTTGAAGGGGATGGGCTTCTTCTTCCACATGGTCTTGCCAAACACAAATCATACAAGGTCTCTCTCTCTCTCTCTCTCTCTCTCTATACACACACACACACACACACACACATGTCTCATCAATAATAACAGTCTAGGCCCCAATCCGCTAGCGGCGGAGACAACCATTCGTTTCTTCACATTGTACCGTTCTTCTTTGTTCAGACGAAAATCCGCGAAGCATTTTCTTCAAAAAAGAGATCAACAAAGAAAGAATATCAGAGGCTTGCAAAACAATATGAGCAAGGTTTGGGTAAAGATTGTGAGGGGAAAAATGCCTCACCTCAGATTTCTTCAGGTTGGGACTTCCCTGACTCTGAGTGGGAGCTTCTCTAAATGCTTGTCCATGCTGCTGTGGCTATTATAGTAATATTTGCATTAATATTAATATTATTATTAATATCAATTTATGTTTTTTCATTTCATAAATCAATGTATATATATATATATATATATATATTTGTATATATGTAAATATAGAGGAAAAACAATGTCCAATAGAGAGGTGCAAACAATGTCCATTGGGGCAAAATGTTATACCCCGTGAATTATATATAGTCTCCTTTTATGGTAGAAAAAAAATTGTGCCATAAGAATGGACATTTATCTCTGCTTGGTTCATTCATTGCATCTTTATTTTATTCTATTTTGCCAAAAGATACATTTATTGCTAACTTTTTTTTAACAAAAAAAAAACAACAGAAAATTTACAGAGGAATTGACAAATGCCAAACTTCTCTTGTTCATATCCACCCATGCAAAATCTCTAACAAAACAAGAATGAACCAAACAAGTATTTTACATCTAGTGAAATGGGAGTTTTTCCTTATTTCACATTTCACATTCACAAAGAATATATATTCTTTGGTGGACTAACAAATAGATGGACTATCTTTATAGCTTTAACCTCTATTTGTTTTTTTCTCTTTTCATTACTCATTAATAAAATAACATAGTCATGTCACCTTTATTTCGTAGAGTTTTTGATATTGTTTTTAATATATGAAGATTATATTTCAGGTTGTCGTGCATTATTTTCACAAGTGTTGTTTGATGCATTGTTTCATTTTGGGCTTGTCCCATACCATTGTATATTGCATTGTTTAAGTCTTCTGCTAACTTTGACACTTTGTACAGGATTGATCTGAGTTCAATGGTTTTGACTTTTGTTATATTTATGAGTTTTGTTTTATGATCTTTATTTATTGATTCGAATAAACAACTTAAAAAATAGTTCTGTCATGATTCGTACTAAACAACTTAAAAAATAGTTCTGTCATGATTCGTATAATTCACGTTGGGCTTGTGTTTCACTTTTCTTAACATGGAACTAGCTATTGTTTTAACCATTCTATATGGGACGCGCATGATTTCCCAACATTAACTTTAATTTAGATTTATACTTTTACTATGCATATATCCAGATTTCAGATATTTAAGAGTTTATAAATACTCTAATTTATGAAAAGTTATAAAATTTTAAAGATATATACTTTACGTTTTTAAAATATAAAATTTAATTTAAGGTAATGATTTTTATTATAACTATAATTATTTAACTTAGAAATTGAAAGAATTTATTAAGATTTAATAAAACAATGATTACTCAATGTAAAATCTAACAGTAGTATGAGACATACGAGTTCTTAGCAAATAACGTGAGTTACACAAAGGTAAACTTTTTTGCGCTCGAATGATCGAAATAATGAAATTTTTAATCTGAACGATTTAATTAATGGAATGTAATATTGAAATATGTTAACATAAAATTTAGGAACCACTAAAATAAATTTCAAATAAAGTGAGATCTCAGAATTCTTATCGGAAAACAGATATAGAGAGTAATTTTTTCTCATTTTGTTTTATCAATACAAAGTACGATAAGGTAAGAGTATCAAAAATGAAAAGTAAAGAAATGAAATACGGAGTATCACATATTGATGGGACACATTTCAATTAATAAAAAATAATGAGTAAATTCCATAAAAGGTCCCCAGTTATAGGTCGTTTTACATATTTAGTCCCTACATATCAAATATTACTAATTTGGTCCCCAATTATTATATTTATTTCTACGAATGGTCCTTTGTTAACATTTTCATTAAAACGTGGATAAAATTATAAATTCATACTCCTTTCTCTCCTCAATTAAGCTTTCTCCTCCCTTGTACTCATTTCTCAAACCCGTCGCTGAGTTTCTAGCATTGAACCCTAAACCAAAATCATCACTCTTCTCTCAATTGTTTGTCTAACTGGAGTAACGATCATTTAAATTTTGGGTTTAAGAGCTTCAAACGCAGCGACGAGTTTGGGAAAGAGTATGAGAAGATGAAGAAAGCTTAATTGAGGAGATAGAGAAGTATGAATATACAATTTTATCCACGTTCTTAACGGAAATGTTAACAAAGGACCATTCGTGGAAATGAATATAATAATTGGGGACTAAATTAGTAATATTTGATATGTAGGGACTAAATATGTAAACGACCTATAACTGAGGACCTTTTATATAATTTACTCAAAAATAATCTAATTGATGAGAAGGCATGCTATCTTTATCTCATTTTTATGACTCCCTAATTGCCTTCCATTCCTTTTAAGGCCCAATCCATTCTTCGCCCCAACCCATATCGTGTCGCTCAATCTCCAACAGCAAGCAATACTTTCATCCATCGATTCCCTCTACAGTTTCATCTTCTTCATCGGCTTCGCCCCTCCTACTAAGATGTCAGGTAATTCATCTGAAACCGCAAGATCTGATAGCATCAGATCTGAAGCCATTTTATGCCTATATCTAAAACCATTCAGCATTATACCCATAGAGCCGAATTCTAAGACTTTTAGGCAAAACTCAATTCTAATGTTTCTTATTCTTTTTTTCTTCTTCTATTAATTGTACACATATTAAATGAATGGGTTTTCCGGTAGAGGTTAACGGTGGCCTCAAGAGAAAAAGAGAAGCTAGCGAGGAGGAGGAGGAGACATTAGATGCTGATAATGAACAAGAAGAAGAAGAGATGCTTCCAGATTCCCCATATACTCCAGAAGACAGATCCATCATTGATGATTTATCGATAGTAATATTCAGTTATTCATTTAGGCTTTAACAATGCACACACACACATCATTTGGTTGAATTGTTTTGGTAATTTAGGGTTTTTATGCAGCACGATTTCATTGACATCCTGTCTAGCAAGGTAGAGAATGATTTTGAACTCAAGCTGATAGCACACGAGCTTTTTCAATCCTTGAAGAATGCCATCGAAGATGGTAATCAAGTACCAAGTATTGTTGCCGGAGTGAAAAAGCTTTTTGACAGTGCTGTGTTTATTCAGGCATGTGTTGAGACATATATGGAGGTATTCTCTATTTCTTTATCATGATGTTTCATGTCTGATTAACTATATCACATCAAGTTGTTATGTGTGTGTTAATTTTACACTTTTTTTTGTTCTGGTAACTATTTAGGATCCGATATTGCTCGCCGAGTTAGAACCTAACTTTACAGTCTTTACTGCAGAAGGCAGAGAACGAATGGAAGCTCTCAAAAGAGACACATTCTTCCAAAACATTTTGCAAGAGACACAAAGCACTGCCATTATTAGGTTGTATGCTTATGATATGCTATATTTATATGTTTTTAATGAAAAAAATTGCTGTTGTGCATCTCCAAATGTGTATAAGAAATCACTAGTCCCATCGTTTTTCCAAAATATACTCTGGCGTACCTTAAAATATCCGAAAACTTACTCCGAAGTAACATTTTCTCCATCTTCCGTCATAATCAAAATCTTCCGTCATCTTCTTCTTCCTCCTAGTTCATCTTTTTCCTCTTTATTCATCTTCAATTCTTTGATCTTTTTCTTCTATTTTCTTGTTCTTCTTCCCTTCTTTCGATTGGACCCACCCTCCCCTCCCACAACCTCTTTTTTTCCTTCTTTATATTATTATTATTATTATTATTATTATTATTATTATTATTATTATTATTATTATTATTATTATTATTATTATTATTTCTATGTGTTTTATAATAACAATAGTAGTAGTAGTAATAATAATAATTATAATTGTCTCAAAATAAAATAAAAAAAAATAATAGCAATGACTATAAGAATATTAGGGGTAGAAGAAGGGGATGTGTCAGCTTGAAAGTTGGGAAGAAAAAGAAGATTGAAGAAGATGAAGTAGCAAGAAGATGATGGGGAAATTCAGTTTTGACGGATGATAGATGGAGTATCACCCTAGAGTAAGTGTTCGGATATTTTATGATACCCCAAAGTATATTTTAAAAATGATTGGACCTTAGAGCTCTTATCACAAAACTGGGGTATCAAGCATCAATTTTTTTTTTATTTTTATGTGCGATTCTGATCTAGGCGATTATATTTATTTGAGATTTGAATAATTCTCTTTGTCTTGTGATGAATGATGGAACATTATAATTTCAGATCATATACAGAGTATCTACTTTTTGTGACTATGACCTTGCAGTGGACATCACATTAAGTTTCTTCAATTCTTACTCCATATTATAGAGCAATTTCTTTGTGTTTCACTGGCATTGAAGCATTCAGTTCCTTTGTTAATACTAGTTTTTTTAATCCTTTTTTTCTAAAGAGGAGTTGTGACAGTTGTGTTCGGGTACTGGAGCAATGAAGATTACCACCGTAAGGTGTCTGAAGCAATTACTGGGGAACTGAAGAAGATACCCAAACCTGATCGCGGACCCCGCCCACTCAAGATGGTGTATGATGATATTCCAAATATTGATGTTTCTTTCACCGTTGAGGTAGAATCCCTTTTTTTGTCCTGGTTCAGTGCCTTAATATTTTCCTGTGAGTTAACAATGTTCATTCTGACTGTAGAAAATTAGGGCATTTTTTTTTGTTTTGAGGGGGGGAGGGGGACAAAATATCTTCCTTCACCCCCTCCCTTTCATCTCCTTGAACCAAAAATGACCTCATTATTTCAATTGACTAGATCAAGATTTATTCTTTTGTCAGGTAGATTAATATTTATTACTACCACATATATTAACATATTTCAATGAAATCTCTAGGGTTTTAAAGAAGCATTGACCACCAGATATCGAAATGATCCTAACCGTGATTACAATCATGTACGCGAAGAGGTATGCAAGACATTTCACTTCATGATGTGAATGTCCTATCATATTTTACTTCACAAGTTCACTGATTCTTACTTTGGAAAAATGCAGCTCCTCTTTATTTTTTCCCCCAAAGCTCTTTTTAATGTTTTTGGGTTCCATTTTTATTTGTCGGTATAGATTGAGAGGAATACGTATTGGTTTGAGCGGATGGTAGGCCCTCATTTCCCTGGCGCGATCCCAAAGCGTATAACAAGGTTAAAAGTTTTATGGATGAACGAGTCCTTGACATTGAGGACTGTAGAGTTTGGCTATTGATTGATTCAAAGACAATACTTGCATGCAAATAGTTTATGCAGTATATGGGTTGTTACATGTTAGTGGACCAGGCATTTATCGATGTATATTTGAACTGTGATATCAAATATGAGATTGAAGTTAGTGATGGTAGTAGCTAAGATTTGTATGATGCTTTGAAGAGGTATTCAAGACATTTACCTCATAATGCGAATGTCCTATCATGTTTTCCTTCTCAAGTTCACTGATTCTTACTTGGGAAAAATGCAGCTCCTCTTTATTTTTTTTCCCAAAGCTGGTTTTAATGTTTTTGGGTTCCATTTTTATTTGTGGGTACAGATTGAGAGGAATACGTATTGGTTTGAGCGGATGGTCAGCCCTCATTTCCTTGGCGTGATCCCAAAGCGGATAACAAGGTTAGGACTTTTATGGATGAACGAGTCCTTGACAATGAGGGTTGTAGAGTTTGGCTATTGATTGATTCAAAGACAATACTTGCATGTAAATAGTATATGGAGTATAATATGGCTTGTTACATGTTAGTGGACCAAGCATTTATTGTTGTTTATTTGAACTGTGATATCAAATATGAGGTTAAGTTATTGATGATAGTAGTTAACATTTGTATGATGTTAGGATGATTCTCTTAAGTCGGGATTTAGGCCATGTTTTTTTCTACTTATTTTTATTATTTATTCTTTTTCTTATTAGAATTGTTTATTTCAGATTAAATCAGAAACATTATTATATATAACAATATTTAAATCAGATTGAATAAAAACTTATTCAACTAAGATTAGAATAATTTAGATTAGGAGAAGAGAACATGACCTTAATACATGTATGATGTTTCAATTGTATGCGATGGATATTGGGTCCATTGAATATAGGATTGGCTTGATGAATTATTACTCCTTCCGTCCCGTTTTAAATCACCCGTTTTGACTTTTGGGCATATTTAAAGAAAAGAAAAAAAGAGTGGATTTTCTAAAATTGCTATTACTTTTTAGGAGAAGTGACAATGAATGAGAAAATAATGTGGAGAAGAGTGACTTATTTTAGGAGTAATTTAGGTATTTAATGCTTAAAAGTTTATGATAATAAATAACATGTAATTTATTTTGGGACGGAGAAAAAAAAAAGAAAATGGGAAATTTAAAATGGTAGAATATTGGTGTAGAATGAGCCGATGAACGGGTCGTCTAAGAGATTGGGTCCTTTGTTTCTCTTTTTTTTATGGGAAGTCCTTGATGCTGAGTTGTTTATACTTTAGCTATTGATTGATTAGAAAAGACTTGCAAAATGACTAATCTATTTTAAGCATGTGTTTGGATGGGGGGATTTTGGAAGGAAAGAAAAGTGGAGGAAGGAAAACAAAAGTTTCTAGATCTTTTCTCTTGTTTGTTTGCAATAGAAAATGGGGAGAAGAAAGAAAAAGAGTGGAAAAAGACCTTAAAAAATTTTCTCTGCACTTTTGAAGAGAAACTCACACATGGAGAGAAAATGCATGAAATGACATATTTGCCCTTTGCCTCTTTTCTAATTTACGAAGTACACCTTTTTTCTTTAACTTTTTTGTTGCTTTATGATAAGGGCATTAATGTCTTTTGGCTTAATCATGTTTTCTTTCCTCTTCTCATTTTCTCTTCTTTTTTACCTATCCAAACAACAATTATTTTCTTTTCATTTTCTCTCCCATTTCTTTCCTCTCATTTTCTTTCATTTCATTTTCTTTCCTCTCATTTTCCCAAACAAAGCCTAAGTTCTCTGTTAGTGATTATAGTATTTTCTTTCTTCGGTAAAATTTTTCAATTATTACATCTGCTTTTTTGTTTCATAAAATATTTTAATTTGGGCTAAATGATCACAATTGTCTTTATTTTTCTTAAATCTAACTAAACATATTTTAACTATATTCTATGCTATATCCATACTGATATCTCCTGATCCCTTCTCATTTCTATTGTGTTTATTTTACCCTAGTCAAACTTATATAGTTTTTCTTCCCAAAAGTCAAAATTGAAAATTTTTTGCAAATATTTTGCGAGGCAGATGAAGTAGTAAAGATTTGTATGATGCATTGATGGTTGGATGATTCTCTCAAGTTGTAATTGAATATAGTAGTGTATGATGCTTTGTGGGAGTATTTATTTTACAATAAATTTTATAAATAATCCCTAATTACTATAAAGTGGAATGTATGAGTTCTCTGATACCCACCTCTAATCCATATGCACAACAAACATAAATCACACAAACAATCAAACATGTATGAAATCAAACACAATCCAAATTACAAAACACCAAACACAATCCAAATTTCCCTTTCTACACGAAAACAATGTTGTAAGAAAGACTTCAACAACACTCCTAGGACAGTAGCAGCAGCGCAACACTGAAGATCCAAAATTTGTTTTTCAAGATTTGACATGAAATTAGAGAAAATGTCTCGTTGAAAGCATAAAAATTTACCTTAGACAGTGTGAAAATTGTAGATCTGAAAAGCTAAAAAAAACCTAGATCTCAAAAGCTAAAAACCCTTCATAGAAAAAAAATCCACAAATTTTAGATCCTAGGCGACGGATCAAATTTATTTTATTGATTTAACAAATGGGAGGGATGGGAGCGAGTAATGGAAGGAGACTAATATGAACGTCTCTCCATACTGAAATGTTGGTTTTTTCGTGATCAAATCTCATTTACAAATTTATTCTTCACTTTATTTGATGGATATGAGACTTGTTTTACTCTCGGTATCAAGCTTGGACACATCTTTTGTGCTTTTTTTTGTGCTTTTAATTTCATTAAAGAAATCAATTTTCAAAAAATTATTCATGTAGATTATTTTTGGAATGCATATTAAAAAAAAAGGAGTGTAATAGGAAATGTGTATAGTAGTTGCGGTGCAAATGAAATTGTCCCCAACATTTGAGGTACTACTATATGTACAACAATCAGTCTAATAATAATGGGAAACTATTAAGAAAGTTTATATCATTTTGCTTCTATATGTATATATGTAATGTATGTATGTTTATGTAATATGTAATGTATGTATGTAGAGAGGAATCAATTCAAATTCAGTGGAAGTAGTGGATGATGTCACCACTGAGAGAAGTGACGTCTGTGTCGAGCTTGAACCAGATCAGCCTCACTTTCTCCGACCGCTTGTACAGTGAAACCTCCGCCGACAGCTTCGAGCCGGGTTCCACGTCCAGGTTCGCCATCGGAAACTCGAACCGGACCGGGCTTCTCCCCACGTCCCCCCTTGTCCATTTCAGCCCGTTCTCCGCCGTCAGCGACAGTTCAAACCGCACTTCTCCCTCCGCCGCCGAGAAGAACGCCTCCTTCTTGTGCACCGCTATCGCAACCGCCGGCATTCCTTTGGCTTTCAGAGCAGACATGACGCGGCCGAAAGCAGGGGGGAGGAAGGTGGCGACGGGAGGCAGGGGATTCTGAGATGGATCATGACATGCGCCTGCAAGCTTCACTTCGCCCTCTGTGAACTTTCCATAGATTTGCATTGCCATCCTGCCGCTGCTGACTACGTCGCTACTGGGCTGATCTCCTCCCACACTGTCTTGCACTGAAAAACAGAGCACCAGATCAAAACAAGAACATAATGATGATCGAGTAGTCTTCTTCTTCTTCTTATTCAATTTCCTCTTCTTTTGTTCTTGCAGAAAAGTGGGTATTCAAGAAGCCATAACATGTGTAAATTCCTTTTTTTTTAATACTGTAATTTGAATACTTGGCTGTATAGAAGAATCAGATTAAACATGCATGAGTATTACTCTACATTAGATGAAAAACAGGGCATGGCATTCTTGGTAAAATCAAGACTCGATTTTTCTTCAAGATCAGATTGGTTAAGAATGATCTGGAAATTGGGTAATTGATAAAAAGTGGAATTGGATGGACTACTCACCGAGAGGCCTCTGGAATTGGGCGAGCAAGAACCCCAAATCGTTGAGTCCATTGCAGACCTCGCGAGACTGCGAGAAGACGACGGCGTCCAGATTCCTGGCGGAGGAGAAGACGTGTTCAAGATCGTCGATTCTGACGATGGCATTGAAGAGGTGGTCGGTGCATTCGTAGGTGAGGAAGCTCTGAGGGAGGAGCTTGAGGAGGGTGGTGGGGTTTTCCCCGGCGGGGCGAGGGGGGTGCTGAAGGGCCGACAGGACGGCGAAGTATTCCGGGCACCAGATCACCACGATGTTCTTGGATTCCGGCATCGGGACTGCTTGGATGGCTTCTTTCAGATGGGGAGCGTCGGAGATGGTGACACGCAGCACCATTGCGATTCTTGATTGGAAGTTCAGTTCTTGAATTGGTGGAGTTTCAGTGGAACGGGTTGAGATTGAGAATTGGGATTTCGGGGTTTATAAATGGTTGGGGATGGCGGGAGAAGAAGAAGATGATGATGATGATAACCAAGTCCAACCAACTGATCGGAAGCCGTTTGCCAGGATTGCCACGCTGGCAATCAATTTCTAAAATAAAATTCCTCAGAGCATCTCCAATGTGTAGTGTAAAAATTGGTAGTGTAAACTTCATTTTATACTATCAATAGTGTTTTACATTTCCATTTTTTTATACTTACTCCAACCATATCTTCTATATAATATACTTTTTATAATATTTTTTTGTTTTAAGTTACTTATTTTTAATGGTTTTTGAAAAAAGATGTAATAAATACCTTGTACATATGAAATGGAGAAGAGGGAAGGAAAAATGAAGAAAATTAATTTTTTATTCTTTCCACTATCTATAGTGAACTTGTAAAAATACACTTTGGAGATTGCTTTTTACACTACATTGCATTTTACCAATTGGTTTACCCTAACCATTGGAGTGTTGAAAAGGCAACATTAAATTGTATATAGTGTATATTTTACAATATAGACTACCCCTTGGAGTTGCTCTCATAATGTTTGAGTAGAAAAATACTCCATATGTATTATCGGTCTGAGGCATGACAAAAAAAATTATGGTCTAGAAATTGAGTATTATTTTTATGGTAAGTAATACGGTGGATCTTCATATGTGTCAAATAAGTATTTTTGAAATTAAAAAAATGTGAGAAGGTCTATGTGAATCTTATATCTATCATAAAATTACTCTATTTTGATTAATTGAAAGAAGTAAAACTAATCACCGCCGTGATGGCCTTTACCAGCAAAAATTTGATCAAATCTATTTTTAATCTGAAACCTGATTCAAATTTGATCAAATTTGCATTAATTAGAACTTGAACATATGTTATTTTTTAATGTAGTACTCAAAGGTTTTTTATTCATTAAATAGTACTAATCTCTAGTGAAAGGAACACTGTCTAATAATGGTGGACATTTAGTTTAAACAGTGTCTAGTGACCGTGGATATTAAGTTAAACAATGACTAGTGGACAATGACTACTAGTACTGCGTTGGAAAATAAAAAATATAGTACTACATTGAAAAAATTATTGTTTTTATACTATTTAGATAAATTTCTCCATAATTATTGCGGCTCAAACTCAAAATTACTCAAATCCGAGGACTCATTAATTTTTTTGGGTCGAGTTGAGTCAGGTTTGACTCGTTGGGTTTCATTCTTTAAATATACCCCGGAGTGCATAGTATCTAGGATCCAACCCATGCGCCCAGCTCAAGCCCAAGCCCATGCCCAAAGCCATTAAAAGCGTAAAGTGGTCCAGCGGCTATGCATATCATACATCGTTTTAAAAAATCATCTCCTTTTATTCTTATTTTATTCTTCCGGGATTGACTTTCATGATCAATATTTTTGAACTTTGGTTATAAATTATAAAAAACATTAAATTATAATACCAATAGGTTTATTTTGAAACACGGCTTTGAAATTATATATTTTTATAATATACTCCAACCTTCCAGAGTTCCAGTGTATTTGTCAAGTTTGATTTTTTTTATTTAATTAGATGCACTCTCAAAAGCTCTAAAACTGGTTACAACTTTCATTCTTTTAAGTCTCACATCATCTTACTCCGGGGCACCTTGATTTTTTCGTAAGAACATTCCAGCCGCACATTATCTAAAATATACCTGGGAGGTTTTTAAAATTTGTAGTAATGTACTTAGAGGGTACATTCTCTCTATTTGACAGTTATGATTAAAAGTTCTGTTATTTTGACAACTACTTAATTTTACATTCATAATCATTATTTTTTAGAATTTAAATAAAGGTATTCAATTTGTCAAAATAAACGAACTTTTAATTTAATACCTAAATTGAGAGAATGTATCTTGGAGTATAATTATTGATGGTGTAAATATAGGTGGGCGGGTTGACCGGGTTTGACCTGGACACACTCGACCCGTAATATATAAACACACAACAAGAACACAAAGTATGACCTAGACCGGGTAAATCTCCTCAGTCCGAAATATATTTCTTACTCTGTCTCAAAAGTGTACTAGTTTTTAGTGAGATAAAGAATGGATCCCCTCCTCTATCCAATATCATCATATTTATAGAGGAGGATTTGTGACCTTCCCCTGTTCATCCATGGACAAAATAGGAAGCCCGTGGGAAGGTCACTACACATAATCAATCTACTATTCAATCAATGAATTTAGCAACTACAAGCCAAGACATGTACTGTTCAATCAAAGACTATTAATGGATATTCTCAATCCAATCAGCCCTGCAAAGTGACAAATGTTCCTTTCACTGTTTATCTCGTGATGGATGAACGGCGGGGTGGTCCATCGTGGTTCACCATGCCTGAGATACTGCACCAATGTTTGTCAAGTAAGATGATATGACCGGTCACCTTTTTGTTGAAAGGTTGACCGGTCATTTCTCGAGCTCAGCCCAGAACTTTGGTCTTCTTGAATTCTTCGCCACATTAGGTGATATTTTGGCTATCGCCCAAAATATGACCGGTCACTTTTTTAGTGGAAGTGACCGGTCAATTTTGACCCGTCCCAACCGAAGGGTTAACATCATTTGGTGACTTGATAAAAGTGACCGGTCATAATTTGACATGTCCCTTTTGGTTATCCGGGTCGGGTATAAGGATATACCCATCAATTATGAATTTTAAAAATTTGAAAACAAATTTCAGATAATGTAGTAACTGAGAGATCTCACAAAAAATCAAGGATACTCGGAAGTGTATTTTAAAGAGTTTTTTCTTCAGAAAATTGAGCGTATTCGAAAATAATTTTTTACATAAATGACATAGTTGTGTAAGATCTTACATACTCCGATCTCTCCATCTCAAAATATATTTCAAATTTGCTTTTTTAGCAGTCACGGATAGGAGCGGACCCACATTAAGACATACAGAGTCACGCGACCCCACAGAAATTTCGTAATTTTATATACTCCCTCCGTCTCCTATAGATCTTCCCAATAGCCCTTTTTCTTTGTCCACAATAGATCTTCTCATTTCATTTTTTAACAATTAAAATACCACAACTACCTACACTTACTTTATTTATTACACCTCACCCACCTCATTTAATACACTCCATCCAATTTCATTAAGGGTATTATGGTAAACTTTCACCTTTTTCAACTCTCCTTAAAAACCACCAAAAGTCAAAATGAGAACATCTTAGGAGGACGGAGGGAGTATATACTATAGGTAATATACTTAGTTTTACTCCCTCCGTCCTAATATTAATTTCCCAGTTTGACTTTTGTAGTCAAACTTTTTAAACTTTGACCATATATTACAGAAAAAATACATTGAATTTTCATATAAATTTATTATCAATAGAATCATTTTGAAACATAGTTTTGAAATATATAAATTTTATAATATATATTTATAAAAAAATTGAGATATTAGTTGTCAAAGTTTCGCATTGGAGATCGTGAAAAGTCAAATGAAAATTTAATTTTAGGACGGAGCGAGTACTATATATTTTAAAACAGCATCATTGTAAGCATTGGACGAGCAGCTCTAGTGGACATAGCGCCCATTCGTATCCGCGATGTGTTGTCTTTGAAACTGCTTGGCCCAATTAAGCTGCGTTTTTCTTTTTGTTTTTTGGAATCCCCACATTAAAGGCTTAATATTTTGTGTTTTTTTGTTCTTCACTCTTCAAGATGTAGTTTTTATTAAACCATAATTGAATATGAATTGGATATTTAGATTTGATATTTGTGAATAATGAATTTTTAAATTTATTCTTTTCAATTTGTAAATTGTGAATTAGATTCATATTTTGTAAGATTAGGAATATGTTAAGATGTTTGGATTTTGTTACAAGTTTATTGTGTTTTTAATTATTTGAATTTCAATATAGGAGGCAAAAGTATTTAAATCAATTTCAAAATATGAAAAATAGATTTTATCAATTGTAATGTGTTTTTATATTTGTAATGAAAGACTATTTTTAATATGTAATTTTAGTGGTAAATGTCAACTTTAATGTTACATATTATGAAGTATTTTTTATTTAATGTTACAAAAGAGATGGTTTGATATGAACTTTCTAAAATATGACCTCATAGTTCAAATATTCTGAGTCCGCCACTGGTCGCAAGAACTTTTAGTTATTTACACATTTTCATTGGTTATTTGATAACATAAAATATCCTTGACACCTTTTATTTCGAAGAACTTTTCATGTAGTTTTTTGATATATGTAAATTTTATTTTTTTATTTTTATACCAATATATAAATAAAATGAATTGAAAAAACTTAATATTTAACTCAGTAATATATAAAAGTGTGACAAATATTTAAAAAGGGAAGAATACATTTATGACTGAACTTCTAGCTTACTCCCTCCGTCCCAAATTATTTGCCACATTTGCTTTTTCAACCGTCGCGGGAACTTTTGTTTATTTCTACGTTTTCATTGGTTATTTGATAAAATAAAATATTCTTGACACCTCTTATTTTGAAGAACTTTTCATGTAGTTTTTTGATATGTAAATTTTATTTTTTATTTTTTTACCAATATGTAAATAAAATAAATTGAAAAAACTTAATATTTTGCCTCAGTAATAGAAATGTGACAAATAATTTGGGACGGAGGTAGTATTACTTTGTGGGCCAATGATCTCTTAGGAATATAATCTGCAGACGTATGCCAACTGCCAAGTCACTTTCCAAGCTTTCGCTTTTCCTGCGGCACCTTTCTCCATCGCCCAAAGACCGACCTATGATGACTCAAAATTATATTTCCCGTTTATTTATTTTAGAAATATTTGTACTACTCGGATAATAGAAATGTAACAAAATTTACGAGATACAATTTTTCAAAATGTGTCAAACTTTTTGGGACGGATGGAGTATTAAAAATTCAGTCATTTTTCTAAATAATGTTTAATTGTTTTATTCCTTAAGTAATACTCTCTCCGTCCCAA